CAAAGGGTAGGCATACTGTAAATACCAATTCTACTTCTATTTTTTCTTCTTCATATTGTTACACTTATTTTTGGTATCTTGGGGCAGAGTTTTAACTATGCACTGAGAATTAGAGAGCAAATGCTTTAAAGCTTTATAAAAAATAAAAAAAAATTCATAAATCTGTGAGGCACCTCTGTGCTGCAGAACCTTCTCAGCTGCACCCAATAACAGACAAACCAATAAAAGTGAAATAAATACCGACAGGGAAGTTTAGAGGGTAAAGGAGAGGGAATGTTTGTGTTTGTGTGTGAGCACCTATTTCACCATCACGCTGAGAACCATTTGAAGCATAGTGAGGACATTTTGCTTGTCTTCACTTTGTCTGCAGACAAGTTTAGGACTAAAGGCTGCGTACAAATTTTTAATCTACAATCAGTTTTTTTTTTTTTGCATGTCCCACTGACTGCATATAGAGAGGCTTCGCCTAGGCAGGGTGGGCAATTCTGCACAGATTTTTTTCCACCACTGTCTCTGTGCTATACACTAATTACAACAATTTCCCACATTTGACTTGGACAGATTATGAAAAGTTATTAAAAAAAAAACCTAAATTAAAAACCAGTGGCACATTCTATAAAGCAAAGCCCCACTGAACAAGTCTGTGCAGCATCTCGAACCAGAACAGATAGAGAATGTTCATATATTAAAAACATAATGACATCTGCGTCTAAAGAAAAAAAAAAATACAGCAATAAACGCAGTGGGACGATTTCTTTGCTGACTGAGGCGGAGAGGTGATTCTCATAGAGAGATCTGAGAAGTTTATCTAAGTTATTCTTTTTTTCATAAAGAGGTGAGAGAGATACGCTGCGCTTAGCTGCTCTTTCTGACCCTCATTTAGTTTTTTTGTGAGGCTCAAAGTGGATTAACTACTTCATCCATTTTTTCTCGTGAAGTTTTTTGTGATGCTCAGATACATTTTCTGTCCTCCTGAACTCTTATCATGGGTAAATTTTTCAATTTTTTTATGTTTCATTTATTATTTTTGCACCAGTCTGTACTGCTTACTATATACGGGATGTGCGACTTCAAAACTGATTCTTTCTCCGTGCGATCAACAGATTTTATTTTGTATTTCCCTCCAAAGCGGATGTGTTTTACTTTGTAACTGCGTCTCTCTTCCCGTCAGACCCATGAAATTGCTGCTGAATTGCTGCGTAGTCCAAATAAAATAGATTTGGGCTCTATCTCAGTTGGAGCTACGCAGCCCCCTTGTGTAAAATTGTGTCTATATGATTATCTCAATTGACTTTTAATGAGCGCTAAACACCATGACCTCGTCCGACACAATTTTCTGTGAAATTGGATGTAAAATTGGATTCAGTGCATTCTGACCTTAAGGTGTGAAATGAGCTTAGGTTTAGTTTAGCTATGCAATGGTGATGGTTAGGTTTAGGGCACAGAAAGGGTTAAAAATGGCTTAAAATGAATGAAGGTTAATGGGAATCAACAGCTCTCACTACATGTACCCAGACAGGGATGTGTGGACATGTGTACAGACCTCTGGGTGGGATCCTCACTGGGGAGTTGACCCTTCTTGGTGGCTCGTCTCTTATATGTATGGGGGAGGATCTGAGGCTGGCGGGGGGAAGATCGGAGAGAGATCTGCAGAGACAAGGTGTAGGAATTAGGATCAGTTAGAGGTGAAGGCTGTGGATGAAATGTGTGTTTGAAGAGTCGACTGTTTGGGCTGTGTGTCTGAATGTTTCAGTCCCTAAGCATGTCCCAGCAAAGGTCAAATCAGAGGTAACCCGTACTTGTATCTGGCATCTGGGAGAGGGCTCTCTCTCCGTGGAGGTGGGGACGCGCTGCGGTCAGAGTCGGAATCAGACACCGGCTTGCGTGGCCTTGAGGAGGCGGAGGAAGGCCGAGGCAGGCTCCAGTTGTTCACAGGAGAAGATCGAGGGTTTGGGAGGGTGGACAGTCCTGGTAGAGCTCTGCAGAGAGATGTCATCACTAAGGTCTTCAAAGCACTCTTCCAACTCATTTTAATATACTGGGAGCAGCAAAAAAGGAAGACTTTGAAATCTAGAATTTAAACCATTTTTTAGAAACACCCCATCAAGATAAAGCAGAGCAGTAAAAGTGAGATTATTACTGCTGAAATGATCAAATAATCAAATTTAATTAAATGAGCTGAAACTGGAATGAATTCCTACTAAATGAGTAAAAGGCTTCTGCTTCTAAGCTTCTTTTAAATCTAAATGACTGACCTGTATTTGCTGGAGTCCTTCATATCTGGGCTGACTCTCCTGACGGGAGGAGGAGGAGTGGCACTGCGGTCCGAATCCGACTCAGAAGGAGCTGAAGAGAAACAATAATTCAACATAATAAATCTTTTTTTCTTTATCTCACAGCTGACATGTGATTCATTGAGCCATCTCTATAGATATGCTGCTATAGGCTTAGACTGTTGGAGGACATAGGGACCCCTTTTAATAATTCTGCTTCATTCTATCCTTACTTTCCCACTCTGCAGAATTTAATTCACTCTCTAACTTTTCTCATCATAGTAGCTTCATCTGGTCTATAGCTGCCTAGCTATAGACCCCTGGACGGGGTCGCCTGTGGAGCTGGTTGACAGTAACTTTTTGTATCTCTGCTTCTTTTTCTATGTCTGCTTCTGTCTCCTTGAACCCCAGTCGGCCTCTGCAGATGGCCGCTCACACTGAGCCTGGTTCTGCTGGAGGTTTCTTCCTGTTAAAAGGGAGTTTTTCCTCTCCACTGTCGCTATAAGCATGCTTAGTGTGAGGGATTGCCGCTGAGTTGATGCAATCAACTGGTTTTCCTTTGAATCACCTTTACTGTATGATCTGGTTGAATTGTAAAGTACCTTTAGATGACATGAGTTGTGAATTGGCGCTATTGAAATAAACTGAATTGAAATTGTGGTAGTGGTGCTTTTAAGGCTCTGAAGGGCAGCATTCCTACAGTCAATGTGCCATTTAAGTTAAATAGTTAAATGCGTTTCTGTGGAGGTTGTACCTCTGCGGGAGGCGTACGATCTCGGAGGAGGCCGACTCAGCGTGGAGCGTACGGGCGACGGGTCCCTGGACTTGGCTCTTGGAGGAGGCTCAGCTCTCGTTCTAGGTTCAAAACATTTTCAGCAATTGAAAAGAAAGAAACAAAAGAACAAAGAAAAACTCTGTGATGTCTGTACCTGCGGGTCCGTTTCTCTCGGGTGTGTTGACGCGTTGCCCGACGAGGGGTGATGTCCTCATCGATGTCTGAAATGTCTGTTTGGTCACAGAGAAAAGTTTAACAACCTGATGTGGATCCACGCTACATACCGTACTGTCGACTCTATGAGGAAATCTTACCTTCCAGCTCGGAGCTGCTGTCTTTGCGCCGCTCCTCGTCGCTGTTGGGGGGGCTGTCGTCCACCTCAGGGATGGTGACCAGGAACTTGCGGTCGTCTCTGAGGACCGTCATGGTCAGCTTGCCCCGGCTCTTCTCCACCAGGTGCTTGGTCTCCAGGAGGGAGAGATTTTCCGTCGTCATTCCGTTAATCTATTAAAACACAGAGAAGCGGTTATTTTTGCTTTTCTTACAATAGATAGAAGAAGTTTCCATGCTTTTAATCTTAAGCAGAGGAAAGAGAAAAGTCCACCTTTAAAATGAGGTCTCCCTCCTGCAGCGTGCCTTCCTTTGCAGCCAGGCCGCTTTCTGTCATGTGCTTTATGAAGATCTGACTTCCCAGCTTCAATCCGTACTCTGCAGAGCAGGACAGGATTGGTCATTTTAAAATGAGACCTGGACTAGAAAAATATCCATCATACAGGTTTGCATTTCAAACTAATGTGAAGGAAAATCCTACCGTCTGTGATTTTCTTCTTAATCAGCGTGGTTTTAATGGGTTTCTCAGGAGCATTGTTCTGCGGCAGCCTCTTGTACCCGGACATCAGTGGCAGTGTTGCTCCGTAACCGTTACGCTGAGGCGAGGGGCTGCGGCCGCGGGGGTTGTAACGTCCCGCGTCCCTGTTGTCGCTGCCATCAGAGTAGCGGCGCGTTCGTCTGGGAGGATCTTGATCCAGCAGGTTGGACTGTGAGGCTGCTCTTGTCGGTCTGGAGGTGGCCGGGATCTGGATCTTTCGAGGCCGTTTTACTGTCTGCAGGGAACAAAGGTCAGAGTTTAAAGATCAGGTTGACCTATGAGATGAGTCATCATTACATACAATTAACTGAACATTTCGTCACATTATAACCACAAACACTTATGCTATTTATTGAGATTTCATCTGATGGACCAACGTGGAACAGATGGTTCTAATTTCAAATTATTGTTTTTGAAATAATTTAAAAGCAAAAATCAAACGATGTGATTCATGTGTCCCTTTAAATCAGGTCTCTCAAACTGGTTCCAGAAAGGGCCGTGTGGCTGCAGGTTTTCCTTCCAACCAAGCAATAGCACACCAGGCTCCCTTCATCTCATCAAGTCATCATGTTCAGATTGGACTCACTTGATAAGATGGCTGGAGTCTGGTGTGGTATTGCTTGGTTGGAAAGAAAACCTGCAGCCACACGACCCTTTCTGGAACAGGTTTGAGACTCCTGCATATGGATTTGTTTTTAAATCAAAATCTGGACCGTGTCTACAGGTTTTAATCCAGAACTTCCTGTTTTTAGGTCCATCCATCCCAACGTGAACAGTGAGCAGCTCCTATGCTCATACCTGTGAGCCATTTTTGATGCTGTAAACATCTTGTTTTACCATTGGGAGGTTAATTTCTTATTTCTCTGATTTTTATGATCCTGCTGTTCATTCACTTTAATTAACACAAACATCTGAGATCTTCACAGAACAGCAGCATTCAAGCCCATACCTATATAATAATAATAACTATACAGGTGACCGCCAGGGAAGCTAATCTGGATTCATTTCTGGATATTAAAGGGATCTCAATAAAAATGTAAAAAAGTAATTTTTTTTTGTATTTGTTAAAAATATTGAAAATCCTGCATAATTTTCCTCCCACTTCACATGTATGACTATTACGTAAAGTCCTAATAAGATAGCCTAAAATGTGTGGTTGCATTATAATAACATTTGACATGGTTGAAGGGGTGTGAATACTTTAGCAAGGCTATTTTATTTGCGCCTTTGGAATACTCACTATGTTTGCCGTCTTGCCGCATGCCTTTAGGGTGTGAATGGTGTAGTTAGAGTGAACGTTTTCCATAGAAACTCCATTGACCATGACGATTTGGTCTTTGTTGCTACAAAAAATCAAAACAACATAAAACATAAGCAACAACAGATATAAGTCTGTTTTTTTTTAGGGGGAAAGGATAGTTTTTTATTTGATCTTTAAATGTTTAGTCGTGTAAAAGGAGACATACAAGAGTCGTCCCATGGCCGGTCCATTCGGCAGAACATCTGACACCACCACAGCTGTTTCTCCCGTATCTGGGTTTGGCTTGTCCTTCCCTCCTGATAAGGCAAAACCAAAGCCCACCTTTGGGTCCTGCCATGAAGAGAGGGAGAAAAGAAAGGGGGTTAAATGATAGGAAGTGCATTAAAGCCAGATAAGGAATGCAGTAAAGAAAAACGCAGCCTAAGTGGGAGATGGAGCACAGAGATAGAGGGAGACGGAGCACATTCCAGTGGCAGGATGGTGACGAGCCAGTCGGTGCTGTGGGGCGCAGTAGGGTGTGTCTCTCTGAATTCCTGCACTGGAACAAGACATCTGAAGCACGGTCCACCTCAGACCCCGAGAGTCCCTCAGAATAACCCCTGAGAAACAAGCCCCCCTCACCCAGCTAGATGTTCCCTCTAAAGCAGACAGATACCAAAGGTACCAAAACACATTTAATGCTGATAAACACCACAGAAGGTCCCCACAGATCCATCATCACATTCACAGGAAGAGAAACTTACCTTGTTTAGGGTTATCGTGTGCTGCTCCCATATCGTTATCTCATCCATGCCTGGTTTCTGACAAAAATAAAAAAGGGACTTTAATGACTTTCAGATTTTGCCGAATGTGATCAAAATAATGCCAACATGGCCGCTTCATCCGATGGTGGAACGCTGGACCTTAACGTGGAGGACAGTGGATCCAAACAGAAAGGCTGTTTGTTCAACTCCACCTGATAGGAGCGTGCTCACACCTGTTTCAATCCTGCCTGACCGGTTTGGAGGAGGAGTTACCTGCTCTGTGGACGCGTGCGTGTGCGTGTACGCACTCACTCACACAGCAGACAGGTGGACTTCAGCTCCAATAAACTCGAGGAAAATAAATCCAAATAATACGACTACTGTCCTATTTTTTGAGTCTGAACTTTCTTGCCTTGCTCAATTTTCATTATTCATTTTTAAAATGAACAATGATGAAAAAAGATGACCAGTCAAGAAAAAAGTGAAATACATTTAAAAATAATTAATTAAAATAAAAATTATTGATGAGGAACGTATGAAATTGACCTAATGTCACCTTATTTATAAAATCCCCATGACTCAGTAATGACTCAGTTATTTCTGGGCCTTACTATTTACACAGTCACTATAAAATAACGACAGGAAGTGTCATTCGTTTTCAGAACATTTTGAATGTTTACAGGTGTTGCGTTACATTTCAAACACAGCTTAGCCTGTCTGACAGGCCTTTATATTAGGGGGAAATGCTATTATATTAGTAAATACTGTAATAAGAATATTTAACATACATTTCTTAGTGTCATTTCTTAGTTATAATTATGATATTGATAAATAAATAAACAAACAAATAAAAGCCCCAGAAAGAGGCCTGTAGAAAGTTATGATAATAAAATGTTTATAAGACCCCAACACTTTAGAAATATATTTACTTAAAAAACTTTATACTGTGACAGAGCACTTCGCTCTCAATCTGCGGGTTTAATAGTGGTTTCTAGAATTTCTAAAAGTAGAATAGGAAGCAGATCTTTTAGTTATCAGGCTCCTCTCCTGTTGAACCAACTACCAGTTTTAGTCTGTGAGGCAGACACCCTGTCTACTTTTAAGGCTAGGCTTAAAACTTTCCTTTTTGATAAAGCTTATAGTTAGAGTGGCTCAGGTTATCCTGAGCTATCTCTATAGTTATGCTGCTATAGGCTTAGGTTACTGGAGGACATAGGGACCCCCTTTTCATCATCTCTCTATTCTCTCACTCTGCAGAATCTGTTAGTTCAATCTCTAACGTTCTGCTCTCTCTGCTTTTTCTCATAGTAGCTTCATCTGGTCTGTTCCTGTTTGGCTGTGACTCCATCCTGGAGAGAAATATCAGCTGTGCTGCTGCCATCAACACCTTTGTTTCTAGATGTTCGAGATCTGCCCGTATTTTAGTGTTTTCCTGTTTCTCTGACTGTGACTGGCTGGATGTGCTCTCTTCATCCTCCGACATGGGAGCTGGCTCGGAACTCGTCTGCCTGGCTGTGTGTTTCCTGGACGGGGCCGCCTGTGGAGCTGGTTGACAGTTTTTTTCTATCTCTGCTTCTGTCTCCTTGAACCCCAGTTGGCCTCGGCAGATGGCTGCTCACACTGAGCCTGGTTCTGCTGGAGGTTTCTTCCTGTTCAAAGGGAGTTTTTCCTCTCTACTGTCGCTACAATTTGCTTAGTGTGAGGGATTGCTTTTGAGTCAATGAGTCGATGCAATCAACTGGTTTTCCTTAGATAGAAAACTTTGAATCAATTTGACCGGATGATCTGGGTGAATTGTAAAGTGCCTTTAGATGACACTCTATATAAATAAACTGAATTGAACTGATAACAGAGCGTTATGCGTAATGAAATATCAGAAACTGTATGAAAGTCATTGATATCGAATTAAAGTATCGTTATATAATCGATACTGAAATGTTGTCCTGCCTTAACTAACCTTAACAGAAACGGATGAAAAAAAAAATCATTTCACTGTTTAATAGACGGTTCTTTAATTCAGTAAATTAAATTCCTGCCTAGCAGATTGTTTGGATAGCAATATTAAGAACACCAGATTTCAACTTTCTTGACAAACGAGGTGAAATGCCGTTCATGTTTCGCATTTGCAACCCAAAGACCAAACAAGCTGAGCACGAACTAAAACATGAACTACTATGAAATAACCAATAAGGATGTTTGTTCCAGAGGAACAGGTAAAGCAGGACGCTGTCGGTGAAACATAAACCGGTTCGAGCTTTAAGGGAAATTCAAGATCCACATTCTGATGCTTCATTTTAAACTCCGGGCTCTGGACACGAAAATCAGAGATTTACTGGTTGAAGCCAGTTTCTGTTATTCTTTAAAGTCTCGACACCCGTAGATATTTTCTCTTGCACACACACTTATTTGTGCAAAATTTCTGTAACTCAAAACGAAAAAACTAACAGCTTCTTTTTATTTGGGATTCTAGTTTTGTATTTAACAGGAAATGAAGGATTTATAAGATTATCACCATTTTTAAGCATCAAAGCAGATATCTTTATCTAATCTCTACTAAACTCAAAACAAGGCAGCGCAGGATGTAATTTGTTGATTTGCTCTAAAAAAAAAAATACTGAGATTTCCTGCAATTGATGCATATCATGAATAAGAAAAAGCAAACCCTTTTTTTTTTAAACTAACTGGTCAGATTTGCCATTTCACTGCTGCTATTCCGTTTTTAACAACCAAACCTACAAAAAGAGAGAAACTACATATTATTGAATAATATATTCAACTATATGGGTTAACTAAGGCTCTCCTTCTAATTTTTCTTTAATCCCTTGGCCTGTTACATTTCATTTTTATGCAGATGGCATTTAGCTGCACTGCTCCTCAACAGTCCAGATTGTTTTAAACAAACTGAGTTTTAGTGCCTAAAACTTTAGCCAAGTTTAACACAACTTTAAGAAAAATTTACTGTTTTTCCAAAAAGCTCAGTTTTTTTTTTTTTTTTGGTTTTTTGTCTGTTTTCAAGCACAATTTGAGTAATTATCCCGTTGCTAAGGCACGACCAATCAGTGCCTTAGTGGCACTGATTTGTCGCTAAAAACCATTTGACTGTCACTACTCTTACTAGCAGACATTATCAGCACTGGAAGCTCGTGTCAAAATAAGTACTTCACCTTCACTACCTTTTACGCAAACTAAAGTATGCATCAGAAAAAAATACATTGATCATTTCCAGCTGGTAACAATGCCTGCAATAGTATTTGCAGCTCCCACTGCTCCTCTTTGCAATGTTTTTACATTGTTACATTACATCATTTAAAATCCTGAGCCCTGGGGCATAAACAGAGTGTGTGGTTTTCATACCAACAGCTTGTTTATGGAGTGTTTGAAAGAAAACAATGACATAAATGTACACTTCTACGCGTTTCTGCACACCTTTCCTTTATACAACCTATTTTGCATGGAATTGGTCACAGCTGCAACTTTCCGGTCCCCGCCTATAAATAAATATGCAAAGCAGTAGAAACATGAGAAAGGCTCCAACCATGTGTCCAGAAAACCATGGCAATGTCAACTCGGTAAGGAAAACAAAATTATTTAGATTCAGTGGATCTGAAATACAGATGTTAGTTTTTAGAAATTAAAAACAGTGAATCTTATTTGACACTAATTTCTCTGGTATAAATGATAAAATGAAAAGAATTGAGCAACTGAAGACATATTCGAGATGAATTCTGATTCTTGCCCCAAATAAATATTTGGTAATATAACTATAAGTGATATTTTATCATTAAGCAGACTGGACATTAGTTATTAAAGCTGACATCTGTTAGGGACAGCAATAACAGGGACGTGATTCGATTTTCTGCCATGTTGTCTGTTTAACTACAGCATTGACGAGTTGCATGCATGGATTTGATCTGTTTCATACAGCTGACATGGCTTATGGATGACCGAAGTGAGCCAGCTCCCTCTGCAAAGCTCTTTACCCTAGTGACCAAGATATTTCTTTAGCCAAGTCCTGCAGCTGAAGCAAGGAAGCCATCATTTCACACCTTCCTCTCTGCAGCTACTTATGGATGCATGAATGTTAACATCTTGTCCACATCAGAAGACATAACACCTCACTTGTTTGCAGCTAATCTACAGATCCAACAACAAATCAAACAAAGTGCCACTCAGCTCACAGATTGAGATCTACATGAAACAAAAACAGAATATTTGGTGTACATCCTGCTGAGGTTGTTTCCATACATCTTTAAGGTGTTTTTTTTCAGTTTCATTGTTCAAGAATGAACCATGAATAATAATGAACATCAGCTTTGATGCCTGCTTAGTTAAAAACAACTGAATGGAATCAAAGTCGGATCGGGGTAAGCTCTACAGCTTTTGACATAAAAATGTAAAAAGTTTACAAAGCTGTTGCACATAAAAATTAATTTGCAACGTTATTTACTGATTCATAGATTCAGAGATGAGAACCCTGCAGAGGTCAGCTCATCCTCAGCAGAGTAAATCCTCATTGCTCAGGTTGATCCCAAGAACCAGGTAGAAACCTGCAGGGTGTTGCTCAAACTGTTCAAGGAGCTGTTCAAGGAGCCCTCTTTTATCTAATCGTTTTATCTAATCTCAAGGACTTGGGGGGCCTGATTTCTTTTACTAAAAAAAAAAAAAAAAGAAAAAACATCTGAAATGTATTCAACTGGATGTACCTTAAATATAACCGGATTTGCTTGTATTAGTCAGTATTCTTTTTCTTTTAACTTCTAATGAGATCATGATTGAAGCGCTCTTTTATCAATATTCGCTTATTTAGAGGTTTTGCAATCTGTTGTTTGGAAACGTTGAAACAAGCAGGCGAGGATCAGCAGTGTTAGACCTTTGGACAGGTGGCCGACTGTTTGACCAAGTTAATTATTAACGTTAAAGTTGACCTAATTGAAAGCCAGTTCTGTCCTGATTTCTCGCCAAGCTGCATGTTTAACCCGACCTCACACCAGAGGTTTGATTTCTTTAGCTCTGTTACAGTTTATTAGCTGTGATTCACGTCCGAGCGATTAAAGAAAGAAGGATAAAAATATATCAGCAGAGAGTCACCGTTTGCCACGTTCAGCAAACGTACTCTGAGAAGGCGTTAGGAATGACCCTCAGTAAAAACCAAAGGAGGAGCAAAGAGCAAAGGCAAACAGGAGCATAAAACTCCTGCTGAGAAGGAAAAGGAGGCCAACTGGTTGCTGAGCAGACCTACATTTACAGGAGGACTGAACTTTAGTCCATTAATACATTACCATCCACCTCACTGTGGAAAAGAATAATCAACTCTAGGGCTACAACTAACGATTATTTTACAAATCGATTAATCTGTCGATTATTTTTTCGATTAATTGATTAATAATCAGATAGTCAAAGATTCCTTAAAGAATTTGTTTTATTAAAAGAAACCAGGCGAAACTCAAACTTTTCCACTTGATGAGTTCTAGATAGAGCATACTTTTTTAAATGCAAAATATTTATATTTTTTTTATAATCTTGGTATAATTACTGCTGTAAGTGGGTCACTGTCAGCTAAAGGCATGTTAACAATTAATCATCGTTTGCTAAATTAGTAGAGGTTTATTTCAATAATCGATGCATCTGATTAATTTTTTCATCCCTAATCCATGTTTGATCTGTTTGGACTGTCGGTCATCCTGAGAGGTTTTTAACGAGCTAAACTGAAGAAACAGTTTAAATTTTGTTGAATTGTATCTAAAATTAAACATATGAGCCAGAAGTAGAGCACTAACCTGAACTAGATCAATCTAGAGATTCATAAACTAGTCATAAACTATGAAAACTGTTAGAGATCAAATTCAGTAGTTTATTATATAAAAAGAATTCATTTTACCATTAAGACCGAATAATTCATGGATTATAAATTAATCTCCTCATTTACTTTTAATCCTAACATTTAGAAACATTTCTGATCACATGGTCTGTTTATCACTTTCTCCACTTACCATGTGATCCTTAAACCTCACTTCCATTTTCCACTGGGCTTTCTAACCTGAGCAAAACACCTGTGGCCCCCAGCCATCAAGCAGCAGCTTGCTCTTCATACTCCATGCGCTGCCAAACACAAAGCTCTACGGTCATCCGCCAGCAGCTCCTTTCCCTCCGATTTAGTTCTGGATAAATGGAATCTGGCGTCCAGCAGAAACTTGATCCTCCCACTGAAACGATCGGTAATCTGACCTGCAGTGGTAGCTCTCCCTGTCCCAGCAGAAGGTTTCAGAGACCTCACCTGGAGAGTGCTCCTCCCCCTAAAGGCTTTGCCCGCTCTCATGGTCTCTATGGAGCTCTCAGACGATGGTGGATTTAAGGTGGAGCTTCGTCCTCCTTACAGTATGTAATACAACCTTAAATAGGGCAGCTGCTGTATTCAGATATGCTGGTTCTGCTACAGGACATCAGCATTAATACTGAGCAGGACCTCAACAGTCCAAGAGTTTGATGTGAAACTTTAAAATGAGCTGGTTACCAGAATCAAGGCGCCACTTCAAACAAAAACCTCAGTTTCAAAGTGGAAAAACGTCTTTTGCTTGTTAATCAATGTTTTAGAGTTCCTTTAATATGAGGGCAGGGTCTGAGTTAGCTATGCACTGCCAGTCAGCTGGCTCAAAGTTATTATCATTAACTAAAAGGGATGAAATAAAGACAGTTTTTGTCTTTTTTCAAGGTCTAGTTTTTATTTATAATTAATTTAAATGAAAATATTCTGAGACTGCATTAAGAGTCTCAGTTTAGTTCCCGCTCTAGTTCCCGGTTGCTTTTTTCCCTTTTTTTTTTTTGCTGTACTGCATTCTGCCAGCAGATGGCAGATAGGACAGGCAGGTCATTAGTGCTGCAGCCGTCTGTACTTATCTGGGGTTTTTATATCTGTTATTATGATGATTGTGGTTTTCTTTTTTAGATTTTCCTTGTTTGTAACTCATATTACATAGAAGATTGAAACTAAAACTGAAACTAAACTAGCTAAGAAATACTGAAAACATTAAAACTAGAAAAGATTTGGAAGTCGGAAGCCTAGGGCCGCAACTAATGATTGTTTTGCGAATGATTCATCTGTCGAGTAGATAAATCGATCAATAATCGGATAGCCAAAGGTTCCTTAAAGAAGATTTTTTTACAAAATTAAACCAGGTGAAACTACAACTTTTCCTCTTGAGTTCTGGATAGAGAATATTGACTGACAAAAAATCTATAATTTTAATTTTTCTATCTTAAACGCAAAATGTTTATATATTTTTTTTTTTTTTACAATCCAAGTATAATTACTGCTCTAATTGTGTCGCTCTGTCAGCTAAAGGCATATATTAGAGTCTCTATACTCCAGTTAACTATTTATCGATTACTGAATTAGTTAACGATTATTTCAATAATCGATTAATCACGATTAATACATTTAATCAGCCCAACAGAAGCCAAAATAAATGTGTTAAATTGTTGACATCAGAATAGCCTATATTTTAAATTAAAATGTAAAAAGATGTAAGAAAAGTTAGCCTATTAATGCTGTTATACTCTAAACAGATGCAGAGTTATACTTCTAAACTCCATTTGAAAAACAAAACAAGCACAGAAACATGAAATCAAGCCCAACTAGATTATAGGAACAGAAAAGCAGGTAATAGTTCACAGAAAAGGTGGCGGCTTCTCATTTAAAACCAATTAAAGCTCCGGGGGCTTTTGCAGAGTATTCATTATACAGTTTCTTCCAGCTTTTTGTGGAAGTTTTTCACAATCTTCTCTGAAAACGGAATATTAATGATGAACTGTAACATTCTAATGTTTGGCCTTCAACCTTTAGGCTGATTTTTAACCACACCAGCATTGTAGTTTAGAGTTACAAACCATTGCAACATGGCTGTAGGAGCTGCTTGACTTAAAATGCAAATGTAGAGAGCGAAGCCTCCCTACATTTGAATTTTCTTAGGAAAAAACAGCAAAGTTAACTTCTTTTTCTTTGTTTCGTTTTTCTTCCCCTTGATTCTTTTTTAAAATAATTTTGATGAAGTCATCTGTCACAGCTGTATTTAATTCAACCAAAGACTTTTACCGGAACCTAAAAACGTTATTACTTTTATAATAAGCTCCAAAAAAACACAGTATATGTAACACCAAAATGCCTCGCTTGGTTTTCAGTAAATGTCTCTGTGACCTGATCTGCTATGATCTCGCTTTGAATACACATTACATTTGATCCATTGACTTACAGGCACCACCAACAGCGGTGGGGGCTCCGGGGGCTCAGAGCCAAATTTCTTCAGTAGTTTGAGTCTCTGAGTCAGTTTCATGATGACAGCAGTGCTGCTGCAGCCGTCTTCTCTTCTTTAAATATTTCCACTGGTGAGTCGGTCAGAGGATGAGGTCAAACATACCATAATCCCACCACGCATGATGGTGAAAGAACTCAACGTTAGAAACTAGAAAGTGGAATCCCTCATGCATCCATCCAGAGCTAAGCTCAGAGCTCTCTGCAGCGACTCCTTTCATAAAGGGTCAGTCAGTTGCTCCCAGTGTCAGCGCTGTGTGAGCAGATTGGTCAACTGCTCCTCCAGGCAGCAGTGGCTGCAGGTCCCAGGCTGCTGGCTGAGTTTCAGTCTGCTGGGCGCCATGGTTACGATGGAGGAATGAGAGCACTGGTCTGTTAATAATTGACGGGCTGTTTGCTACAATATAGATCCTCTGGTCTGGAGTTAGGTTTCCTGGGTTCCTACAGTGGCTCTGTTGTGTCTCAGGACCAGGAAATAGCACCGTGGCAACAGTGAGCTTTGATGTTATCTCTGCTTCGTAGTTAACGTTTATCCACGCCCCAGAGCGTGGGAGTGCCCATGCACTCCTGTTTTCTGATAATCAGTGCCCTGCCTCTTTAGGGCTGCAGTCACCTGTCCCTTACCTACATCACAGCACTTCTACATTGGAAAAGGCTTCACCTCTAGCAGTTAGTGTGGGTTTGGTTTTGGCAACAGAGCAGGATCCTGGGCAGGGATCAGCTGGATGTGTGACAACCGGCCCGTTACTGGAGGTGAAATATTAATCTAATAGTAAGAAAATAACAGGATGACCTGCAGCCATGAGCAGAGGTGTTTCCTCTGTTATTTTGTAGGTTATTACTCCATGTTTGTGCGTCGGGGGATTTTTAACTTTCTTTCACTTTAAAGCCACTCCTGCTGGACATCCAGCATGCACAGTTACCAGCTGGGAACTTAACCAGTGGTTAAGTAAGCAGCGAGGAAAAGCAAGGCTTCCCTGTGCAAATATGAACCTTCCCACCACAAACACTTCAGAGGTTTGCAGAGTAGCTGTAGTTACACAGACCTGGCATTTTCAGCTTCCACTTTCTGAGGGCTTTGGGAAAAGAGAGCAAACAGCCGCCTTACAAGCTACCTGGATGCTACACATGAGACTTTGAAGTTTATTCTGCACTTTTAGGCATCAAAATCACTGCGATTACAGACTTGATCAGCTGTAACTGAGAGGAGGAACACATAAAAAAGGCTATTTTTACTTAAGATAATAGGAACTGGTAACATTTTCAGTTTGTAAACCAGAACCAACACCAGGGCTGTGAGATACAAGCCTTTTATATCCGATATGATACAGATATCACAGCTTTGAGCATTGACGGATAACAATAGACATAATTTATCAACATTTATTATATATCATATTAATATCCATTTCATAGAGTGGAATGATTGAAAAGGTTTATTCTGTCAAACAGAAAACATTACTTAACAAAATCAGATATGAGAAAAATTGACTAATTTGTTATTCAGTTATTTTAATGCTCATAGCGTTCTAGTATCAGGCCGATGTTGCACTGATTTCTGATATCAATATCTGATCGAGATATCCCTAATTATCAGTTTTTTTGCTTTTGTCTCACCTTTTAAAGTAATTCACTTTCTAACTTTATGTTAACACAACCATTAACCTTTAAATTGATGTCAGCCCTAACAGCAGCTCTGCTAAATCTGGTGTCTGACCGCCTAAATCCTACATCCCCCAGAATGCCGAGCGGTTCTGGATCTTGGTTAAGTGAAATTCTCAAAGATTTGATTGGATATATTTATATTAATATTGTTTTTGTTACGATACATATTATATTTTTGATTGCTCAACATTGACCAACACCAAGTGTTTGATGCTAAATTAACGTTAGGAAAATCTGCTCTGCTGGATAAATGGGGATCCAATCATTCCTAAAGTTACTGTTTGATTCAAACACTTTATCAAAGTCCCTTTGAGAATGGTAATTAAAGGATAGTGGTAGTTAAAGGAAAATTTAATCAAAAACAAAACTGAAACCAGCCATGAAGAGCCTGATACTAGAGCATTGATACCAAGCATTCAGGTATAAGAATAACTCCTACAAACATCACATTCACGTTCAGAGTTAATAAAACAAGCTCAGCTGTAAGAAATACAAAGAAAACTGCATTTATAAATCCAACTTAAATATAGTTCTCACTGTATTAAGTCACACCAAATATAATTCTTCTAAATCCTCATGTTTAATCCCTAATGGCTGCCAGGGAAGGTGCTGCCAGCTCCATCAGCAGGAGGTCAAACCTGGACGGCTCACCAGCAAAACATAAAAAAATGACCAACAAACCTGAGCTGCATGTTTTTAGCCTGCGGCAGGATGATTAGATTTAAACAATGCATCTATAAAAAAAAGTAGGACTGGGCAATTAATTGCATTTGCAGTATAACTGCAATTTAGAAAAATGCTATTTTCAAAACGCAGAGACACTCAATTTTAGTCAAAATGAATTTAACAAGAGTAAGACATTACATTTCTCTCTTAGGTGGCGTTAATACAATTAAAGTGGGTATGCTGTCGCACTTAAAGAACAAAGAGTTGCACCTAGATCTATGCATTATAGAAGAAGTAAGAACTTTTTCAACTGTTACAGCAAAGTCCTGCAGCTCTGGATTCTGGACAAGCAGGCTTTCAAGGTCATGAAAAAACTGAAACCTTGGAGGAAAACATCTCCATGGTTATGCTTAGTACAAAAGAAAATCGCAATATTGGTTGAAAATAGTTGCTTTTTTGAATTTTTGCAAAATGGTTCAGTCCTATAAACAAGCACTGATTCTTTTAGTTTAATTAATATTTCATATTAATACTGACTCCAAGCAGATGCTGTTTCTGTTCATTCATTCAACAAAATACCTTAATTTGTTCAAATACAGTCCAGAGACATTCTCCATCTCTATATAATATTGTGTCTTATAGAGTTTCTTTATCGTGGGTTTAATGGTTAATAAATACGTTTATATTGTTTCTAGTCATTGCAGCACTAGAGGGCGAGCATCCACCAGAGCCAAATCAACCCAATTCATTGTTCATGCATCACCAAGTTTACTATTTGGAAAAAATCCAGGGGTTTGATTAAAACCCTTTGGAGTGACAGTAAACTTTAGAGCCTCAATCAGTTCATCAGATCCAAAGGCTGATTGGCATGAAGGCAGAGGAAGACGGAGCACTTTGGGAATGCAGCCGAAACTGTTGTGAAACTCTGTGGCAGGCAAGTAGAAACTTGTAAGTGTGGCAGAACCAGTATGGTGAGGGAAAATAAAGGAAGAGAGGGGGGAGAGAGGGGAGAGAGGGGGAGAGAGCAGGGCCTGCAGCTGTCTGTCAGTCACAGTTCAAATATACAAACAGCTAGAACTGCAGCAAAAACAGAGAAATGGTCCAAAACTCGGTAAATCTGGAGTCAATTCAACTTTCAAACAAAACAACAAACACCGTGACTGAAATACATTGTAAGGTAAAACCGGACAGATACAATAAAACTTGTTTTTTTTAAATCATTTTATGTAGATATTACTTAAAGTTTGGACTTAAAGAGACCAAACTATCCAGAAGGATCCATCTGGCTGCGACAAAATACTCTAATTTAAAGAAAAGGCCAACAGGCGACAGCTGCTGGAATCACCTGTTTGTTAGAGCTGAGACTCTCCTACCAAAAACTTTTTTATTTATTAGTTTTTTTATTATTTCTCAATAAAACAAATAAAGTTTCCAAACCTGTCTGTTTCCTCGCCGTATTAAACCGTCTGGATGTTTCCTGTAGTCTGTAGTCCTCTCCGCGTATCGTTTTCTCTCTTTGACTCTTTGCTTTCTACCTGGATTCTCCCTGAAATCTTCAGCAGCTCAGGTGAGCGGGGGCGTGTCCGGAACGTGCGCGCTCAGTTTCGCGACGTAATGACGTGAGTCAACGTCAAAGGAAGGGCTTTCGATCGCCGATAAAATACCTGCTGGGAAATGACTGCAATCTTTTACAACCATTATTATTATCTCTTGTTCCTGCTTTAAACAGCAGGATAAAAGATCATTGGCTGTTTATAAACGGCTGCTAAATTCATCTCATTTAAAAAGTCACATTTTAATTATTTCATTCTCCACATTTTGGTCATTTTCCTGTGTAAATAAGAGCAATAATTATAAGGCCTACATCTTAACTGCGGTCCTTTAATGGCGGTTCTAGACCACCTTTACCAGGGAGCCTACAGTGGGGTCAGGGATTTCAAACGAGGGGGGGAGTATAGCACAAGACAATAAAACAAACAAAAAAAACAGAAAAAAATGTACATATAATAAAAACTGCAAACAAACAACAAATATTCAATCATTTGAATTTAAAGTAATCAAGAGCACCAAAGAGTCGTGGTCTTTAGCTCTGCTTTACCTCCTCCTAATAAGAAAGGAGAGAGAAACTTCTCTACTGTCAGATCAGCATACCCATAGACCAGGGGTCTGCAACCTTTCATATCCAAAGAGCCATTTTGCCCTGAGTCCAGCCAAAACTCGCTAAGAGCCGCAAAATATTACATGATTTTTTTTTTATTAAAAAAAACCATCCAATTATTTTTGTAAAATATCTGCAATAAGAAATCTGTTTCCATTTTAAATAACCAAAAACTGATTTGGATTCTTTGCTTTCAAAGTTAGGAAAAACATCAAACGATTCATATAACTGAAGTAATATGGATAATATTTGATGTAAAAAAAAAACATATATATATATATAT